CCAGATGGTCGAATTTCTTTTCGAGGTAGACATCATGATTTATTGTGTATGAGCATGTAGCGGATCGCTACGCTAGTAAAGCCTGACCGACTCAGAAATCTCTATGGCAGATTCTCCAACATCTAGCTAGACTCCCAGAACAAGCTAAGCTATAGCCCAGCTACAAGGGAAACGGACGTGTAGCACGGAATACGTTTATTCAGTACGTATATTGATAGCGAAGTGTTATGTTGGCAAAGCGATTAGTTATCAGATAACTCTAGCATAATTCGCGTGAACATTAATAGCTAAATATTTCTAAGTAATATTCTATAGCAGGATTTCTATTTGGTCATTGATGGAGTGTCCCACAAGCATATCTTAATCACTGACTGACATAAACCAAGAATCTTCAGTTATTTGAGCTAAATTTATTGGTTAAATCTTTTAATTAATTCCTCATTTTACACCATAATTAATATTGCCTTCAAATTTTCCGCTCATCTGTTTGGCTATATACTATTATAAAAGAATATGATATATTAAATACCATTCCATTCGTATTTTTTAAAGTAAACAAATGAATGCAGGATGTACGCTAATCTGTCCCATCTAAATCAAAATTTACTCCACCAAGTTTCCGAATTACATTTATTAAGTAAATTTAAATCATAGAGCCTTTCTTTGATCAATCAAATTTGAAGGAAAGATTTGCACTCAAGGTTAAAATATATTCTTTCCTCAAGAAAGAATATGCCATCTAGTAGGCTCGATTTCGTTTGTGCCAAGGAACACCCAATCCCAAACGCAAGTCTGTATGCTCAACAGTCCCTTAGCAAAGAATACTACAGGCGGGGAAAGTTGAAATTAAAGAAAAGTTTCAAGAAAAATGAAAAATTGAATCTAAAGAGTGCATTCGCCAACGCAGATCCTTAGGGTTTCATCAAAGATTCCGATATTTTTGAATCCATTTTCCTAGCTTTTTTAATCCCACAAATGGGCATTTAAATATGAAATTAACACAGTTAGTGCTTAAGGTCATTGGCCTCATTTTCTCTAAAATACCTCTTACCTTATTCCACTTATTTTATGAAATTACTACTCTAAGCCCCGAAAATAATATTTGACTGATACAAGCTCACACTCCCTATTTTGAGTCCATTGTTTATCACATACCCTGCGTCCAGGAATACATTAGAATTAGTAGGTGAGAGGCTTTGCAGATACAATAATTGAGAGTAGGATAATTAAACCCTCGAAGGACAACTGGAATTCTTGCTTTCTCTATCAAGTTCCATGCTCCTTTCTGAAGGGCCCAAGTAACTGAGATGATATCTGCATAACTTATAAAAGCAGTAGTCATTGTGTGTACTGTGTTATCATTTTTACATTCAATCGTTACATACCATATAAATTAGAACAGATCAGCCCATTCAAGCGGAAAAATAACCCGAATCCAGACACATTCCATCAGCAAAATTAGAAAATTTTCTCCCATAGAAAAAGCCCAAAGCCAAATATCCATTCACCTTAAAGAAAGCCAAGAACTGACTTATTAGCAAATGCCTTTCGCCTAGAAGAATTTAAAGAGACGTACTTTTTCCCACAATCTCAACATTCATGGCAGAATTACACAAAAAGCACTTCAACCAACAAAAGATGACAAAAGCAAACAAGAAAAGAACAATAACATCAATAAGAGCTACGAAAAGAGTGGGACAAGAAGTTGAGGGAGAAGACGAATAGAAGAGGTACTAGGCTGGAAGGTTGTTGAAGAAGGGATCCATTTCAGTCGATAATTATACAGATGCCAAGGAGGAGAGAAGACAAGCAAGATTATCTAGGGAGAAGAAACAATGACAAAATCGATTACTAATTACATTGATGAACGGAAAAGGAACAATAAAACCAGGTAATGGGAGGGGGGAGGGGGAAGGGAGGAAGAGGGACAACTACTAAGGGAAAGCAGAATGCCTTCCTCTAAAAGACCATTTTGTGGGGCCTGTCCGTGCGACTGAGGCTGAATTGTGATCGGAGGTAGGCGAATAGCATTTTGGCAGTTTTGGTCTGCTTGATTGCGGAAATCACGCGTTTATCAATTAACTTTTGATCCACCTTGCGTTCATCCTTTAGAACGTAGGCCTTTTTGTCGGCTGCTGAATTAACAAAGAGGCTATCCGCAGTAACCTTTGATTTGTTGTCTGGCTTTTGACGGGCGAAATACTCACGGGTATGCATTCTACCTGGAAGACGTATCTGGAAGGGAAAATTATTCCCAATGAACATTTTGCGTTAGCACGGATTTGTTTTTTTCCAAATTTTCTTAAAAAAGGTATTCCAAATCTCATGCAAATGCTTTTCCTTAAGAAAAAAATGGCTGCCGGTTGTTGTGACAACCTTACAAAACATTATGGTATTGCGTTATCAAAAATCCCTGATGCTTTTGCCAGCACGGAGATCCCGTGCCTTACTTGAGTTGTCTATTTACATTTGAATTAAAACATCTCAATCTTCTTCTTCACAACCTCCCACTTATTTATCTCTTAAGCTTAAAGCTGAATATCTGCAAACCCGCTTTTCTATTCCTCCCCATTCCTCCGACCGCTCTCTCTCAGTAATCCCATTCTCATCTCTCGCAATCAAGATTATTCAGTAGGGAAAAATTGCAATCTAACTACTTTCCACTTTCCAACAATGGTCGGTCCTATGTTAATGGAAGACAAGTTGAAACCAACGAATCGAAAAACTCGAATCTCGGCAGTCCCCTTATTAACCGATTTTGACTAGCGCACTTGCACATACTACTCACATCGAACTCGAAACTAGGAAGTGGATAACATTAGTCGCTGTGCCACTAATCAGCCAAGAATCAACTTGATACCGATGGCAAAAGTGCAATTTCACCTAGTGCAGATATCTGTCAAATTATTGGTTCTATACAGTTGGTATCTTCCTGCAAAATGAACGAGATATGACACCCCAGTTTATATCGAACTCATGTACTATAGGTTAAATTCTTAAGTCTGAATTCTAAAATTTTTTCTATCTTACATGAAAATTTGCTTATTTTCATTGAAGTAAAATTAATATTTCTCTATTTCTATCGCACTACTCGAATTTCAGGAGCATTGCAATGACTCAAATTCGAATTTTTTTTATTTGACCTAGATAATAATAATTTTCGATTGTTATAAAGTTTAATGATGATTTTAAAAAATTAAAGAGAAACTTTTGCAGTTGGAAATACAAATTTATCCTCCGTGATATAAACACTAATAAGAGTTCGACAAAGAACTTCAGTTTGCTTTTGATAAAAAAAAGTGTAAACAAAAACAACGAAACAATGTCTGGTAAACAATTATTATCAATTAAAAATGCGTTTCGATTCACGTAAGCAAACTAGTTGCTATCTGTTAGTTATTCACTTAATTTACAACAATTTACAACCTAACTTGAAATGCATTTATCACAGAAATCAGCAAATATACCACCCGCGCCTGGAGAATGACTTATTGCACGCAAACTGCAAGGTAAGAGAAAAGCTGCCCTGACCTTTTCAAGGTGAGTATTGAAATTCCGAAGGTTTATGGGGTGCTCAATAGACTTACCTCCACGTGGTGCACCCTGGGCAACGTATACTTATACGGCAAAAAAGTCAATTGATCGGCAGTTGACTTCTGACTTCAAATTTCTATGGCCCGACTATTTTTCATATTCGACCCCTTCCACAGTACTCATCTTACCTTTTTTATGCCTTTGTGTTTGTCTGTCTGTCTTTTTTACCTCTGTGAATCCTTATTCTGTCTCCCATCTCGACTTGTTGTCATTTTGATGTCCCTTTTCCTCTTCATGAAGCCCCGAAGTCAGCTCCAGGGCTAATGATAACTATCAAAACGCCTGCCATTTGATATAAATAAATGTGTTGCGTAAGGTACCAAGCCTGTTTCTACTTAAAATTTGTAAGTAAGCTAATCTAGCTTACCATACGGATTGATATTGGCA